CTGATTTGGGTCGCGGGCCGGCCAATGGGTTTGTCATTCCTCTTTCTTTTTTTAATTATTGTTACTTGATTATATTCCATGCATTAATATTTTTTGATTATATTTAATTTACTTTTTAATTATTTTGAATTATAAATATTGTGATAAATGAGTGTCCAACTGTTAAGGTTTCATATTTCAGACATACACTTGAGCTATGAGATCTTTCAAGGTTTATTCCTTCTCTCTACATTTTTAGTTCTTTATTTATTTTATATCCCTCCTTTTTACATATAAAGAGAAATTAGTAAAATTCCTAAAGGCGCAGAAAATTAACATGTGTCATGTTATAAAGACATAAAAAGTGTCATATCATAAGTATCCCCATGTCTCTTTATCGTATCACATGTGAACACCTAATCTTATATTCATTTTAGAAGTCTCATCAAATTAAAACTATCCATCATTAATTATAAAATTTTAATAATAAAATATTTTATAACCCTTATCAGATTAAACTATCCATAACTAAAAAAAATCTCATAACTATATATTTAAATATAGAAATTTAAGAAAAACTTCATGTAAAGAGCCTCTCTACATAAAATAATAGATTAGTTTTACAGAACCCCCTCAACTATTTTAAGTTGAAAAAACCTCCCTCAAATTTGAGCACATTGTAGATAACTTCCCTCAACTATGAAAATTTGAGATAACACCATAAACTTTTCTTGGGATGTGCCTCACTCCTTAACTATTTTAATTTTAGAATCCGCCTCAAGTTTGATCTTATTGTACACCTCAACTTTGAACATTTGAGAAAATCATCTCATTTTACGCCTTGAAAGCTAATATTATAAGGTCTAGCATTCACATCACAAATAGGTGGCTGAGAAAAGACCAAAATACCCCTCAATCATAAAAAATATTCTATTTTTTTAGGATAAGAGAGNAGGTTCCAAAAAAGCCAATCCCCCCGTAAAGGGGTTCCCCCCACCGGGTTTTTAACGGCCCCCAAACAGTAGTAAAAAAAAAAAAAAGAAAGAATGTTTTGAAGGCAATCAAACCCCCCTGGTCATTTCCTCCACGGTAGGTGATTAGGAGGTGTGGACCGTGAGGCTCGAAATGACTTTGTGGGCCGCAAGGGAATTCGTCCTGCCTAGTCTCATTAATATTATTCATGTCGTGTGCAATGGGATGTAAAAACATGTCGCGCCTTGAAAAAGGTGGAAATTAAAAAGAAAATTGTAGCTATCCCCTCTTATTTATAAATTTTTTTTTTTTTCACCCAGAAACAATACAAAATTCCAAAGTTTCCACCCAACCAAAACACCCGACAAGTAAGGTTTTATGAACAATTTTTATTGCTATTACCACAACACATACATCATTAAACTGTTAGGGATTATCCCAATGCGGTTTGGCCCGGGAGCCGGAAAGGCTTTTTTTTTTTTTCCCCCCCTTTTTAAGTGGGAAATTAATCTTCCCCCCCCATCCTTTCTCTCCTAAGACGGTTTTCCCTTTTTTTTTATATGGGGGTTTTAGTCTTATATGATATCTTTATTCATTTTCCAAGGGGGAAACTTGCTTCCCTTCCGATTTTATTCCTCCACCTTTTTTTTTATTCTATCCTCCCTTCAAAAAAATACGAGTTTCCCAATCGAATATTAAGCTAAATGTCTATTTAAGCTTATTTGCCCTCCATCCCCCTTTTTTTTTATTTAAAAGAAATTTTGCTTACCCCCCTAGTCTTTTATCTTTCTGTTTTTATCCTAAAAGCACTCCTTTTTAGGGGGGAGGGTAAATAAATCCCTTTTTAAAAAAAAAAAAATTAGGGGGGGGCAAGTGTACCCCACTAAGGTAAAAACAAAAAATTTCTGATTAAAATAAAAATTATATTTCACAATAAAATTTGGGTTAGTTTCTCCATTCAATATAAAGTATTCCTTAACACCCGTGCTCAACTTTAAAAATTAGCAAAAACCCCCCTCAACTATGGGTTGTCCCACAAAATTCCCTTAATCTTTCACAATTTATCTCATTAACCCCCCAGGCATGCTTTAAAATGTAAAATAATTAAAATACCCTCATGAAAATCAACCCATTAAATTACGGAGAAACCACCAACAGTCAAGTTAAAACTATTTGAATTTATAGTGCTTTTAACCCCCCCCCCCTTCTCTCTCTCTTATTATCGCCCGACGTACTAGTTCCATTTGATTAAGGGTTGAGTGGGAATATAGTCATCCTGGATTGTTAAATATAAATATCATTTTATGCTTGTCTAGAGTAATACTTTTGGTTTGAATATGCTTTCTGAATTTCGAGGACGAAATTCATTTAAGAGGGGAAGAATGTAAAACCCCGTATTTTATTAGAGTATATGTGAATTATTAGTGATAAATAATTCTATTTGTGGTAAATGACTTGAGCTTATGGATATACTTGATGGCAAGTTGTTAGTCATGTATGAGTGTGGTTTCATAGAGTTTCGTACATTGGTTTTGGCTGAATAACAAAACATGCACGAATCTGAAAAATTTGCATCTACTCAGTCGACTTATGAGTCGACTCATGAGTCGACTAATGAGTCGACTGATGAGTCGAGCAATAAGTCGACTGACAGGCTGATTTTAAGTTTTTCTTTTCTTTTGCGGGTTTGGTTTGGTTGTTTCGGGTTTGACCGCTTTCATAAGAAACTCTCCTACCCGAAACCGACCCCAAGACTCATCAGACCCCAGAGAAAACCCTAGCCTCCCTCTCCCCTTAAACCCTAGATTCGTACTTGGTGATTTTGGAGGAGTTTCGGAGGAGTTTTCAGCGGGATTTTATGGTGCTGTCGAAGGGGGATCGTCCTCTCATCGGATTCAGGAGTTTGCAGCACATCACAGGCGAGTAACATCTCGCCCAATCCTACACCCACTGTTTGTATAGTTTTCTTAAGTTTTTATTTTGGATTTTGAGCCTAAAACGTATTTTGTGCATAAAAATAGATACTTTACATTATGAGATGTAAGATCTATGTTTTTCAGTTATAAAAAGCTCACAAACGAATTTGTAAATTAAGATCCAGATCTAAAAATTTGTTTAAACATGAGTTTCAATGTGATTTACTGTTTTCAATACGTTTTTAAACATGTTTATATGATTAAGGTTTTTATGTAAGTGATCACATGCAAATCCCTTTAGTTCTGTTGATACACATGAGTTAGAATCGGAAATATATTGTTGGACATGATTAAAGAGAACTTTAGTTAATGTTTTTGCAGATAATCATCGAAAGCAGAAAACTAGAGATTTTCTGCTCAGTCGACCAATGAGTCGACTCATGAGTCGACTCATGAGTCGACTGATGAGTCAACCAATGAGTCGACTGATGGAGAAAACTTTAGTTTTGTGTTTTGCCTGGTCGACTTATGAGTCGACTGATGAGTCGACCAATGAGTCGACTAATGAGGAGTTTTCTCCTTTTGTATTTTCTTTAGTTTTGAATCTGTTTGAGTTATTTCAGTTTAACTGAAATTGTTTATGTTTGTTCATTGTTGCTGCGTGCTTAAATATGAACGAGGAGTCGCCTCGAATGACGAGTATTAGATATTTATGTATAACCTGTATCTTTACATGTGAGATGACATGCGGACACGAGGTTAGGTTTGCGCACCGAGACACATGAGAAATTAGGGTATATGCACCTGTTCATATAACTCATATAGTCCATGTGTTGGGCAATTATGATGTGTAGTCCATGTGTTGGACATTTATCAATTTCAGTCCATGTGTTGGACAGTTTTCATATGCAGTCCATGTGTTGGACATCCACTACATTAGTTTA